GCTGGGCCTCCCAGAAGCCGACGAACGTGACGACAGTTTCCGCAGATTGCAGCACCCCAAGGGACGGCGAGGTCTCGTGGTGATCCGCGCTGGACGTACCTCCGCTGGGCCTCCCGAAAGCAGACTAAAGTGGCGACAGTTTCCGCAGATCGCAGCCCACCAGAGGGCGGCGAGGTCTGGTGGTGATTCGCGTTGGACGTATTTCCGCTGGGCCTCCCCGAAGCCCACGAAAGCGGCGACAGTTTCGCAGATCGCAGCCCGCCAGGGGACGGCGAGGTCTCGTGGTGTTCCGCGTAGGACGTATTTCCGCTGGGCCTCCCGGAAGCCCACGGTTTCGCAGATCGCAGCCCCCCAGGGGACGGCGAGGTCTCGTGGTGATCCGCGCTGGACATACCTCCGCTGGGCCTCCCAAAAGCAGACGAAAGTTGCGCCTGTTTCCGCAGATCGCAGCCCCGCAGGGGGCGGCGAGGCTTCGTGGTGATCCGCGCTGGACGTACTTCCGCTGGGCCGCCCGGGAACCCACTTAAGTGGCGACAATTTCGCAGATCGCAGCCCCCCAGGGGACGGCGAGGTCTCGTGGTGATCCGCGTAACCGCGAGGTCTCGTGGTGATCCGCGTAAGACGTGCCCCAGCTGGGCCTCCCAGAATCCGACGAATGTGACGACAGTTTTGCAGATCGCAGGCCCCCCCGGTCTCGGACGTATTTTCGCTGGGCCCTCGAACGTGGCGACAGTTTCGCAGATCGCAGCCCCCCCAGGGGGCGGCGACGCCTCGTGGTGATCCGCGTAGGACGTGCCTCCGCTGGGCCTCCCAGAAGCCGACGAATGTGACGACAGTTTCGCAGATCGCAGCCCCCCAGCGGACGGCGAGGTCTCGTGGTGTTCCGCGTAGGACGTACCTCCGCTGGGCCTCCCAGAAGCCTACGAAAGTGGCGTGAGTTTCGCAGATCGCAGCCCTCCAGGGGGCGGCGAGGCTCGTGGTGATCCGCGCTGAACGTGCCTCCGCTGGGCCTCCCCAACGTCGACGAAAGTGGCGACAGTTTTGCAGATCGCAGCCCCCCAGGGGACGGCGAGGTCTCGTGGTGATCCGCGTAGGACGTACCTCCGCTGGGCCTCCAGGAAGCCCACGAAAGCGGCGACAGTTTCGCAAATCGCAGCCCCGCAGGGGGCGGCGAGGCTTCGTGGTGATCCGCGCTGGACGTACTTCCGCTGGGCCGCCGTGGAGCCCACTTAAGTGGCGACAGTTTCGCAGATCGCAGCCCCCCAGGGGACGGCGAAGTCTCGTGGTGATCCGCGTAGGATGTACCTCCGCTGGGCCTCCCAACAGCTCGTACCTCCGCTGGGCCTCTCAGAAGCCAGCGAAAGTGGCGACAGTTTCGCAGATCGCAGCCCCCCAGGGGACGGCGAGGTCTCGTGCTGATCCGCGTCGGACGTACCTCCGCTTCGCCTCCCAGAAGCCCACGAAAGTGGTGTGAGTTTCGCAGATCGCATGAGACCGCGAGGCTCGTGGTGATCCGCGTAGGACGTGCCTCCGCTGGGCCTCCCAGAAGCCGACGAATGTGACGACAGTTTCGCAGATCGCAGGCCCCCCAGGAACGGCGAGGTCATGAGGCACGGAGGAGGAGGAGGAGGAGGAGGAGGAGGAGGAGGAGGAGGAGGAGGAGGAGGAAAAAGAATTCGAGGAGGAGGATAATGGAGGGAGGAAGGTGGAGGGAGGAAGGAGGAGGAGGGAGTAGGGGGAGGAGGAGGGAGTAGGGGGAGAGGAGGAGGAGGAGGAGGAGGTGGGGACACGGTGCTCTATTCAAAACCAGGACCCAACACAGGAAGGTTGGAAATAAAGCAGAACATGACAGTCATGAAATACTCCTTGCGGCGGATTTCTTAGCACGGAATCTGCCATACAAATTTTCAACTCAGTGTTCCCCAATAACGATTTCTCCATGAGGATTCTTTTCAACTGATTCTCTAGCAATGACCTCTCTGTAAGGGTTCCCTGACATGGAGTCCTTAGTGACGAAGCCGCAATCCTGAATTATTTGAATGGGTTGGCTGTTCCAGAATCCGCTTTCAGGGGTCGTAATGAGGAGTCTCTAGTAATGAATCTTTAATCGGGAACCAGGGAACACTTATTTAGAAGCCCATAGGAGGGAACCCGTCGTAAAGGAATCCTGATTAGACAAGGTTCCCTGAGGGGTCGGTATTTAGCAATCTGGACTTAGAATTCCTTAGTACGGAATCTTGACTAAGGAACCTTTCGTGGCTAATATTTAGGAAGGAATCTGCCTTACGGACGACACACTAAATATTCCGACCCCCAGGAGCTCTTAGTGAGGAGTCTGGATTCATGAGTTCTTGATCTGGATCTTTTCGCCGGCAATCGATGCTTAGGTTTCCGTAGTTAGGGATTCTTGCTAGAGAATCCGTTTTCAGGACATTCTTCGTGACGAATCTCCAGGGAGGGGTCCTTGCGCAGGAATCCTTGGAAGGGAATCGTTTTCAAATCATCCTTAGTACGGAATCCGTAGCACTCCGTATTAACCACTAGTATGGAAGATTCGGTAAGGAATCCTGGGTAAGGGTTCTTCACTCAGGAATCCGAGCCTAAGGAATCCTTCGCAAGAATTTTTTCGTGGCGGATTTCTACCCAGCTGGCTACGGCAAGTCCCCCACCTTGCCTGGGTTGTGGGTTATAGGCCTCTGTTGGGATAACATGGGGGGTCTCTCGGGGGCCTGTTGGGGGCAGTTTTGAGGCCTCTTGGCGGCCGTCCGTCTGATGGCCTCTTTGGGGCCTCTTCGGGCGTCTTGGGGGCCTCTTTGGTCTTCTCGGAGGCCTCTTGGGGCCTCGTGGGGGCTTCTTCGAGGGGAATGCTCGAATTGTTTGTTCGTGTTCTCCCTCTTGGGCCCATCTTGTGGCCGTCTTTGTTCTCTCTGGGGCTGTCTTCGGCGCCTCCTGGGCCGTGTTGGAGCCCTCTTGGGCCGTCTTGGGACCCTCTTGGGGGCCTCTTTGGCCGTCTTGGGGTGGTCTTGGGGGACCCTGGGGCCGTCTTGGAGCGTCGGGAGCTCAAAAAGGCGACAAAGTGAAGGAGCATTGAAAAGCACACTGAACATTTGTAATTTTCGGCTCTTCGGCCCTTCTCCAGCTCCTCTTGGAGCGCCCTTGCAGCTTCTTTGGGGCCTCTTGGGTCGCTTCGGGCCAGACTGGGCGTTTTGGGGCGCTCTGGGGCTGTCTTGGAAGCCTCTTGAGCGGCCTGGGTGGGTTCCCTGGGCCGCCATGGAAGCCTTGGAGGGCCTCAGGTAGGCGCCATGGCCGCCCAGGGACCCTCTGGGAGTAGGGATGGCGCAGGTGGTCGGGGTGCTCCCCGCAGAGGGGGGGGTCCCTTAGAAGACTGCAGAAACCCTGCCAGACAACCCTGGTCATTATTCCACGCCTCAACGGGATCCATGGGGGCAGATAGGGATCCATAGGCATCAATTTTCTGTTTTTAAAACACGGATGACGATGTTCTTGTTGTTGTTGCCCCCCCCCGATGCAGACCGGGTGCTAGGGGAGAAGGCGGGGGAGGCGTTTCCAGCACCCAGGCGTGCTATGCCGGGCTATTCCGTGTTGTTGTGTTTTTCGTTGTTGTTGATGACGATGATTGCGATGATGGAATGGTTATGACGACGCTGCACATTATGAGTATGACGATGTCGATGGTGGTGGTGATAGTTGTGGTGCTGGTGATGATGACTATCATTTTTGTGATGATGATGATGATGATGATGATGATGATGATGATGGGGATGATGATGACGATGGTGATGCTGATGATGATGCTCATGATGATGACGATGACGATGACGATGATGATGATGCTGATGATGATGATGATGATGATGATGATGATGATAGTGATGGTGATGGTGATGGTGATGGTGCTGATGATGATTACGATGATGATGATGCTGCTGCTGATGATACTGATGGTGGTGGCGGTGGTGGTGGTGGTGTTGGTAGTGCTGATGCTGCTGCTGATGATGCTGCTGATGATGATACTTGTATTGGCGATGCTGTTGATGACGATGATGATGCTGATGATGATGATGCTGATGATGATGATGATGATGATGATGATGATGATGGTGTCGGTGATGATGATGATGATGATGATGATGATGATGATGATGATGATGGTGATGATGGTGATGATGGTGCTGATGCTTAGATTGATGATGAGGTTGGTGGTGGTGATGAGGTTGCTGCTGCTGATGATGCTGCTGCTGCTGATACTGATGATGATTGTGGTGGTGGTGATGAAGATGAAGGTTTTGACGATGACGATGACGATGACATGCTGACATTGGTGACGATGAGGATGCTGATACCTGGATTGACAAATCATGATGCTGATGATGATGATGATGATGATGATGATGATGATGATGCTGATGATGATGATGATGATGCTGATGCTGATGCTGATGCTGATGTTGCTGATGATGATGATGATGATGATGATGATGATGATGATGATGATGATGATGATGATGGTGATGATGGTGATGATGATGATGATGATGCTGATGATGATGATGATGATGATGATGATGGTTGTGGTGGTGGTGGTGGTGGTGCTGATGAGGTTCATGATTGCACTGGTGATGCTGATCGTACTGGTGATGCCACCTCCTGGGTCCTTGGAGCAGCTCCCCCCCCGTTAGGCTCGCAGGGCCACGGGTTGAGCCGAGCGCGTGCACCTCGGTGGCCAAGAGGTTCGTCCACAGAGTTGCAGACCTCGCCATTTCGTTGTTGGGTTCGTGAAGTACATGCTTGGCTCAACGGTCACTAACCTCCCGGGGTGTGTTCTGGCCAGCTCCTCGAGCTGCGTCCAGCCGTGGCGACGAAGAGGTCTGCCCCCCCTCCCCCCCCAATCTCGACCTCGGACTGTCCTGCTCTCCCTCTCTGTGTCCCTCCTCGCCCCTCGCGCTCCCCTTAGCGCCCCCCCCCCGATGGCCAGCGAGGCCGCGGACGTGCGGCCCCCCGGCGAGGAATCCCGCGCTGGGGCTGCGTAGCCCTCGAGGGCGTCCAAGAGGGGGATGCGGATCAGGGGGGGGGGTGGTCGGATGGATGTCATGGCCAGTGCCCAGAAGTTTCCAAGATGTCACGGCTCTTGCTGTTGAGTATCAGTTGCTTGATTGACTGATTGCCTGACTTACAGCCCTGCCCTGACAGCGCACTGGCAACATGTAGACATCAAGGAAGCACATCTTCGCACCAGGCATGGGAAAATGTCTGATTGCCGAACAAGTACAGAGCCTCGGGGCACGCACGCCATATCCATTGTCCCGGCGCAGCGCGAGGGCGAGCTGTAATATTCGGAGGGCGAGAGAGAGAGAGAGAGAGAGAGAGAGGAAGAGAGCGAAAGAGCGAAAGACAGAGAGAGAGAGAGAGAGCGAGAGAGAGAGCGAGAGAGATAGAGAGAGAAGGAAAGGGATCAATGTATATGTGTGTATAGATATATCTACAGAGAGAGAGAGAGGGGGAGAGAGAGAGAGAGGAGGATGATGTGGATGAGGAGGAGGAGGAGAGAGATAGAGAGAGAGAGGGAGAGATAAACAGACCGAACAATAGACAGAGAGAGAGGGAAGGAGCAGACAGGGGGAGATTAGGGGCATGGCATTCGGCGCAATACTCGCCAACGATTTTGTGCCGCTGCTCCTGCGGTCCACAGCAGTTCCAGCAGGACATTTTACTCACCTGGTACCAATATCTTATTATCCAAACTCTTGAATCACGAAACAGTTATCTTAGCCAGCGCGGATTTCAAGCAGTTTGTTTTAGTAAACTATGTCGTGCCATCTACGTGGTGCAATCTAAGTGGTGCGATCTCTGTGGTGCGATCAAAGTGGTACAATCTATTTGGTGCAGTCGATATGGTGCAAACTATGTGGTGCAATGTACGTGGTGTGTTCGATGTAGTGAAAACCACGTGGTGCGATCTATGTGGTGCAATGTATCTGGTGCAATCAATGTGGTGAACTGCAGTTGACGTGGTGCAGGTAGTTTTGACAAACTCGGAGTTGTCAACACTGCTCGCGCAATCATCCCACCCACCCACCTGGCGTCTTCTTCGACGCCGGGAACAAGTGGAGCAAACGACTGTTGCTCTGGACGCCGTGGTTCCGGACGGAAGCCAAACGATCTCAAGGGCGACCTCGTCTGAGATGGAGAGATTCGTTGGATGCGTGAGCGGCTTTCCATGCACGCGTTTCACTTGAGGCATTTTCCTAATTGCCATGCGCGCGTCTGCCCCTCAGGGGACCGCTCCGGCTACCGGAGCCGGCACGCAGACTTCCTGTCCTGTCCTGTCCACCTGGCGTCGATTGCGATGAGTGCTTGGTAATGGCAGGTGCATCCTTGCGGCCGCTCTAGCCACCGCATGCTCGCGCGGAAAGCGGCCAGCTTAGTCTGGCGCGACCGACGCGACCGCGGTTGCAGTGACCGCTGGGCACTTCCCAGCGCGTCTCGCAGGCCGCGCTGATGCGCGGGGACTTCAGTGCGAAACGGTGACTCGGGCGTTCGCGGTATCATGGTGACGTCGACAACGGTAGACACGATGATGACAATGCGATGATGGTGAAGATGATGACGACGATGGGAAGGCTACTGACTGCGCAGATGCTGATCACTCCGATGACGATGATGGTGTCCTCGCGTCGGTAATGGAAGTGTTGAGAGGATGTCGACGTGCTCGTGCGGCCGACGCGCGCCAGTGGCCCGCTTGGTATTATTTGACAGGGATCGTGCCCCCCTAACACGCGAGCGAAGGCGTTCCAATGATGTCGGCCTGCGCGCGCAAGACGCCCGTGTGGTCGAGATTGATGAACATATTGAAAAAAACCGATGGTTCCTGAAGGGTTCGCAAGAGTTTGCGCGCAGACCGGTTTTCGAAAACTGAGGTTGCACAACCATGTGTTGTAAAATTTTCTGAACACTTGGTTTAGAAATTTTCACGGAATCTACGTTATTCGAAAAAAGGTTTCGGGGTGTGTGCGCGATGACGCGCGCGTGCGTTTTTTTGTTGTGTGTGTGTGTGTGTGTGTTTATGTTTTTGTTGCAAGGGGTTTTTGGCAATTGGTGATTGGTGATAAACGAATGATGCGCGCGTAGTATTTTTTGCAGAGGTGGTGCTGGTGGGGGGGTCGAACCCAGCCTGGCTGGGATTGTGTATGTTCATAGTTGGGATGGGCGATGGGGCAGAATCGTATGTAAATTGCACTACGAAAGGGCGGGCGGAAAATTCCGCCCTCGTGGGCGTGGTAAATCTTACTTCTTCTTTCAAAAAGGAAATCTAATCAATGCACATTCGTGCGTTGTCAACCTCACCGTTCGCGCATTCATCCCACCCAACCACCTGCAATTCGGTTTGCAAAGCGCATGTGGCGGCGATTGCCATGGCTGCTTGGCGCTGGCTGGCGCATCGCTGCGGCCGCACCGTCGCACGTAGGCTTGCGCGCAGAGCGGGCAGGTAGCCTGGGGCTTCCGATGCGGCCTCGGTGGCGGTGACCGCTGGGGACTTCCCAGCGCGTTTCGCAGGTCGCGCTGACGATGGCGACGGCGAAGCCAATGACGGCGCCGATGCTGCTCACCCCGATGACGATGATGGTGTACACGCGCCGGTGATGAAGGTTTTTGGCGGATTTCGACATGCGCGCGCGGCCAGGGCACATTCAAGACGTTCAAATTTTGGCCACTCTGGGTTCAGGTCCCGTCCCGTTTTCGGGCATCTCGTCAGATCTAGGACAGGGAGCCCACTCGTGGCCGAGGCTCGCCGTGGCCAGAGGCACCTATGCGTTCCTTACTCAGCACCCCTTCGAATAACAGTGTGTTTGTAGGGAACGAGGGCGACCGTCATGCTGCCAGAAGGGCGTAGCGGCCAGGGGCTCGGATTCGGCCTCGGTGCAGCGGCAAGTCTCCCTGGTCCAGGTCCAGGCTGCCTGCCTGGGCTCGTTCGGCAGTGTCGTGCAGCACTGCAGCGATGTCGGGCGAAGAGCAGGACGTGACGCCTGCCGTGATTGTGACCCCCCCCTCCGCGCAGGAGGCGGAGGTGGTCGAGGCGGTGGGTGAGGCGGTGGGGGCCATGTCGCTGCAGGCAAGCCGCGCCCGCGCCAGCTTTTTGCTTCCTGTTATCTGCCTTTTCTTCCTCTTCTTCGAAGTGTCAGCGGCAACGACAGGGGAAGATCGGCTCAGGTGGAACGCGCCGATCTGCGCTCGAGCCCTCTTCGGGCCCTGTAGGGGCGTTCCGAAGGCCTTCCAGAGGCCCTCGAGCGAGAGCCTTCAGAAAACGCCCGCTCCCCGCTCGATATCGCCCCCGTTTTGCGAGAGACCGTGGGCGGGGGCACGGGTCGAATAATGATATAATGGCTGCTCTCTCCCGCCAGAGGGGCTGTGGTGGGGGGCGCGGCCCGCTTCCCATCCGCAGAAGAAACCACCAGTGCGCCTGGCCAGGGCATGGTCTATAGATCCTTTTTCCTGGGCCAGGGGGGCATATGTCCAGTTGCCTGCGGCACGACCCGCCACCGTGCAAGCACAGCGTTCTGGGTGGCGATGGTTCGAGGGTGGGAGAACTGTGATGATGATGAGGAGGATGATAATGATGACAATGCTATGATGATGCTGCTGCTGATGATGATGATGATGATGATGATGATGATGTTGATGCTAATGATGATGATGATGATGATGATGATGATGATGATGATGATGATGATGATGATGATGATGATGATGATGATGATTGTAGTGATGATGGTGATTCTGACGGTGATGGTGATGGTGATTTATGATGATGATGATGATGGCGATGATGATGATGCTGGTGATGATGATGCTGATGCTGATGCTGACGATGCTGATGATGATGCACGTGCTGGTCATGGTTGATGCTGATGATGACGACGACGAACACGATGATGACGATGATGAGGATGATGATGCTAACGCCGATGCTGATGCTAACGCTGATGCTGATGCTGATGATGATGCCGACGATGATGATGATGATGATGCTGATGATGATGATGATGATGATGATTGGTGAGGATGAGGTTGATGGTTGCGATGATAAGGATGGGGGTTGTGGTGATGCTGTTTATGCTTCTGATGATGGTGATGATGATGGTGTCGGTGATGATGATGATGATGATGATGATGGTGATGATGGTGACGATGGTGATGATGGTGATGATGGTGGTGATGATGATGACGATGGCGAAGGTGAGGGTGGCGGCGATGATGACGATGATGATGGTCATCATGTGGGTGATCTTTGCGATTCTGCGGATGAGGGTGATGGTGATGCTTCTGCTGCTAATGATGATGGTGGTGGTGCTGCTGCTGCTGCTGCTAGTGGTGATGATGATTGTTTATGATGGTGTTGGTGACGATGCTGATGATCCTAATGATGCTGATGATGATGGTGGTACTGCTGATGATATTGATGCTGATGATTGGTGATGATGGTGATGACGGTGCTATTGATGATGTTGATGACGACGATGAGGATGATGATGCTGATGTTGATGCTAATGATGATGATGATGATGATGATGATGATGCTGATGCTGGTGATGGTGAGGATGCTGATTCGGATGCTGATGGTTGTGATGATAATGATTATATCGATGATGCTAATGCTACTAATACTCATGTTTATGAATGTGCCGATACTGCGGATGATGCTGATGCTGCTGACGAGTAATGTTGATGCTGGTGGTGATGCTGATGCTGCTGTTGATCATGATGAGCATGATGACGATGATTCTGCTGACGACGCTGATGATGATGATGATGATGATGATGATGATGATGCTGGTGATGCTGATGATGCTGATGACGACGATGAGGCTGATGACGATGGTTATGCTGCTGATGATGATGAGGATGATGCTGGGGTGATGATGATGATGATGATGATGATGATGATGATGATCATGATGGGGTGATGATGATGATGATGATGATGATGATGATGATGATGATGATGATGATGAATGTGATGATGATGGTGATGATGATGATGATGATGACGATGATTGTAGTGATGATGGTGATTCTGACGGTGATGGTGATGGTGATTTATGAGGATGATGATGGCGATGATGATGCTGGTGATGATGATGCTGATGCTGATGCTGACGATGCTGATGATGATGATGTACGTGCTGGTCATGATTGATGTTGATGATGACGACGACGAACACGATGATGACGATGATGAGGATGATGATGCTAACGCCGATGCTGATGCTAACGCTGATGCTGATGCTGATGATGATGTTGATGATGATGATGATGCCGTCGATGATGATGATGATGATGATGATGATGATGATGATGATGATGATGATGATGATTGGTGAGGATGAGGTTGATGGTTGCGATGATAAGGATGGGGGTTGTGGTGATGCTGTTTATGCTTCTGATGATGGTGATGATGATGGTGTCGGTGATGGTGATGATGATGATGATGATGATGATGGTGATGATGGTGATGATGGTGGTGATGATGATGATGACGATGGCGAAGGTGAGGGTGGCGGCGATGATGACGATGATGATGGTCATCATGTGGGTGACCTTTGTGATTCTGCGGATGAGGGTGATGGTGATGCTTCTTCTGCTGATGATGATGGTGGTGGTGCTGCTGCTGCTAGTGGTGATGATGATTGTTTATGATGGTGTTGGTGACGATGCTGATGATCCTAATGATGCTGATGATGATGGTGGTACTGCTGATGATATTGATGCTGATGATTGGTGATGATGGTGATGACGGTGCTATTGATGATGTTGATGACGACGATGAGGATGATGATGATGCTGATGTGGATGCTAATGATGATGATGATGATGATGATGATGATGATGATGGTGCTGATTTTGGTGATGGTGAGGATGCTGATTTTGATGCTGATGGTTGTGATGATAATGATTATATCGATGATGCTAATGCTACTAATACTCATGGTTATGAATGTGCCGATACTGCGGATGATGCTGATGCTGCTGACGAGTAATGTTGATGCTGGCGGTGATGCGGATGCTGCAGTTGATCATGGTGAGCATGATGATGATGATTCTGCTGACGACGCTGATGATGATGATGCTGGTGATGCTGATGATGCTGATGACGACGATGAGGCTGATGACGATGGTGATGATGATGATGATGAGGATGATGCTGGGGTGATGATGATGATGATGATGATGATCATGATGGGGTGATGATGATGATGATGATGATGATGATGATGATGATGATGACGATGCATGTGATGATGATGGTGATGATGATGATGATGATGATGATGATGATGATGACGGTTATTATTATTATTATGCTGCTGCTGCTGTTGATGATGATGATGATGATGATGATGATGATGATGATGATGCTGATAGTAGTGATGGTGATGTGTTGATGGTGGTGGTGGTGGTGATGATGAGGATGCCGATGCTGATTCTGATTATGGTGATACTGATGATGCTGCTGATGATTTTGATGGTTGTAAGGACGATTGTGCTGCTGCTGGTGATGATGCGGATGCTGTTGCTGGGTCTGGTGCTGATGCTGATGTTGATGTTGGTATGAGGAGGTGGAGGTGGAGGTGGTGGAGGAGGAGGAGGATGAAGGCCTTCACCCTTCACATGTCTTCACTAGTTGGGGTCTCGTTTGGGCCGTCTTTGGGCCGTCTTTGGGCTGTCTTGGGCTCCTGTGAGGCAGTCTTGGAGGTCCCTTGAGCCGTATTGGGGCCCTCTTGCGCGGTCTTCGGGCTCTCTTGGGCAGTATTGGGGCCCTCGTAGCGGTATGCTAGGTGTCAGGGGGCCGTCGTGGGGTCGCTTTGGGCCGTCGAAAGGCCTCCTAAGGCCGTCTGGGGTCCTACGGGAGGCCCTCTTTGGCCGTCTTGGGGCCGTCTTCGATCTCTCTCGGGCCATAGTGAGACTTTATGGGCCATTTCGGGTCTCTCTTAGGGCCTCTTGGGCCGTCTTGGGGCCATCGTGGAGGCTTCTTGGGCCGTCTTGAACTGACGGAAGCCCGACGCGGCGAGAATGTGAACGTCATTCAAAAACCCAAGGGACACCTATGATGTTGGCTTCTTCGGACCCTGTTGGTGATCCTCTCGTGGCCCTCGTGGGCCCCATTGGAGTCATACTGGGCCGTCTTGAGGCCATATTGGGCCGCCTTGGGGCCAAGCTGGGCTGTCTTCGAGGCATGTTGGATCATCTTGGTGTCCTTGATTGCCTGCATGGGCCGGTTTGGAAGCTCGGGAGACGGATCCATTTTTCCAACGAGGGATCGTAGTTTCGTGAGCGCGGATCCATGCTTGTCACGAGGTATCGTGAAGGGGGGCGATGCATCAGACAGCCCTCGGCATTCTTCCACGCCTCAGCGTGCACAAGGCACGGTAGCGGATACCGTTCCAGGGCCCAGGATGGCTTCGGACAGGCATTGTCTTGGTGTGTAGGTACATTCTGCCTGCCCCGCCTCCTCCAGCCACATCTAGAAGACAAACAACAACATAATACATGCATTTTCCAGAGGTCCGTGCGGATTTCCTGTCCCGTGGCCAGCGCCTTCGGCGCGGCCCTCTGGCGCGCTCCGTACGCCGGGGGACGGGGAGGCTCGTGCCGTTTTTTTCCTTCGTGGAAGTAGACTGTTTGTAGGGCCCTCCATCGGGGATGGCAGGCAAGCGGGGTTCACCCGTCGGTCCTCTCAGGGCCGAGGCCTCGGGGCGTGTTTGGATCAGTGGGCGCGCGTTTCATTGGCCGGGCCATAACCGTCGTCGTCTTCGCTGGAGGTGGAGGACCAGGAAGTCGTCGTCTCTGTCGCCAGAGATGGACGAGGAGGAGGATGCCGTCGTCGCCGTCGCTGGAGGAGGAGGACAGGGGGGGTGAGGAACGTGTCCTTTGTTCAGGAAGATTTTGTGGGGGGCTATAAGGTGTTCAGGGAGCTCTGCTGCAACGAGGCCGGTTAGGAGCATTGTGAGTCGTGAGGACGTGAGGAGGGAATGGCCAGGGTTGGGGCAGGAGGGAGGGGGGGGAGGAGGGCGAACATGAGTGAGGGAGGATCGTGGCGGCGTGGGAGGAGGAAGGGGGGGCAGAGGAGGGGCGGACGGGAGGGGAGGATGGGAGGGACACGGATGCGAAGGAGGGGAAGGGGGAGCGGTCCTGCTCCCCTGCTGCTTGTAATGACACGGGCCGAGCCCGTCACCCTCGTCCTCTGCCTTGTCCCAGTCCTCCCTCTTCTTCTCCTCGTCCTCCCTCCCCGCCTTGATTTGGAAAGGCTCCGTCCTCCCTCTCGTCCTCCTCCCTCTCCTCGTCCCCGTCCCCGTCTTCGCCTCGCTCTTCCTCGTCGACCCCCCTCTGTCGGGATCCCCAGAGGCCCTCCCTCAAAAGAGCTGAGAGCAGATGAAAAGAAGATGATCTTCAGCATGGAAGGAGTGGGTCAAGGAGACTCATCTACGCAGGAGCGTCGGTAAGTGGGTTACTCTTGGCCCAGGTGCTGACACTTGATTATGAAGGGAACTCTGTCTGGAGGACATTCTCCACGTTATAGTTCGTATCCTACGGACCTTGGGTGAGGTAGGCTCCTTGGCTCTCTTCCCCCCAAGAAACACGAGGCCCCGCAGGCCCCCTGAGGTCGCCTGGTGCCTTCAGACGCCTCAGGAGGTAAACAAATGCCCAACCGCGAAACCATGACTTCGACGCTCGTTTTTGGGTGTGTAAATGTCGCGACCCCTTCCCGGGGACTGCTCTTGGTAGTGCTCTGATGGCCCCAGATGCCCGATACGGACCGTGTAGGCCGACATCGCGAAGGACATGTTCTTTTTTTCAAAACGTTGGAGGTCTATGTCCTCATCCCCCTTCGTCTCCCCGCGCACCACCCCCGCCACCACCATCACAGCGATTCAAGGAGGGAGGGGGGAGAGAGCGGCGATGGAGAGATCCGAAGGGGGAAGGGAATGGTACAGTGAAGACGCTGCTGCAAGGACCACTTTAGGCCTAGGTGGAGCTCCAGTCCTCTGGCCGCGCCCTATGCCATCTAGGTCGGGGAGCGTGTTCGTTGCCGAGGCCCGACGTGGCCAGAAAAAGCCCCTTCGTTCCTTATTCAACGTTCGTCATGGCAGCGCGACGACGGAAGGGGGGAGAGGGGTAGATGCAGCGAGATCGGTGCGCGGCGATGCAGAGGGGGGTGTCGTTCGACAGACGACCTGATCTCATCAGACCCGACGGTCCTCGGCTCCTCCCTCCTCCCTCCAGGAGCGGGACTCGAGGGAGCGAGCCGGGCGTATTGGAGGCCTGGGCCCTCCTCCTCCTCCTCCTCCTCCTCCGCCGGGGTCCAGCCTGGCCTGCTCTTCATCCGGGACTGGTCTCGGACGGCCCGGAGGACCCCGAAAGGGACCCCCCCCCGGGGGCCCAGATCGGAAAAGGACCTCGGGCGTGGTTTTTCGACCTTCATCCTGCCCTCATCCAGGGATCTCTGCAGCACGCTTGGCGATGATAGCACGACGTTTCGTGCAGGCTCTTGATGCATTACTTGATTTAAGTGCATCCCCCCCCGCATCGTGCGGCCTCCGTAGAGGGCCTGCGCGCGACCAGCGCGCCTGCCTCCCCTGCAGGGACGCTGGCTTCCCAGCGACGGCGGTTCTGTTCCATCGTTCGTTCCCTCTTTCCCCCAGGCCCGCTCGGATTCAGGCGAGCCGAGCGGCAGCGAGAAAGCGACGCCGCAAGCGTGCTGCTTCGTGGCCCCTCTCGCCCGTTATCTGGCCAGAGTTGGGACACCATGCAGGTGCGTGCGCTCCCAGTACCAGTCGTGCCGCTCTCTTCCGTGGAGCGCATGTCCATTTGTGTTGCTTCGCGGTCGTCCTCTTCCACTTTCTGTCCTCTCCGAACGATCGATCTCCAGCAAGCAACTAGATGCGTGCGCTCATCCGGGGCCTTCTTCTGTGCCCATTTTCACATGATGTGTTCTATATGCGTAAGAGTTGTGAGCACGCGTCGCCTGCCACGCCACCGTCAACCACAACTTCTCTCCAGGAGCGGGGAGGAGGAAAAGTTCTCATACTTGCAACGATCAGGGCACTGCTGAAATTGATGATTTCATCCCTCTATTGTCGCTGCAGTTCGTGAATTCTTGGCTCCCTCTGGGCCTCGAGCTAGAACTGCACTGTGCAGGCATGGGCATGGCTGTCAACCAAACGTTGAAGGCAGGAGGGGGGAGGAGGGAGGAGAAGGGAGGAAGGAGAAGGAGGCTACACTGGTCTTGGATCCAGTATTCGAGCGCATGGCGCGCAGCATCGTCCATACTCTAACGGGGAGGGTGACGCCCGGCATGCGATGTGGACGACGTCGTCTTGTGGCACAAGCGGGCTTAGAACGTGCGCGCCGATTACCTAGTCAGTTATACCATGGACGAGAGGACATCATGGTTCCAGCGTGGCCCGCTGCCAGAAGCTGGTCTCGCCAGCTCGAACTTGATAGTGCACACTGATGAGGGCACACGTGCCGGCCAGTGTTCCGCAGCAGCATGGTGCATCGAGGCGGTGACGCGCCGAGGGTCACGCACAACGGCGGTGCCAGTGATATCGGCTTGGGCGTCTATCCAAGATCCGGTGTCTTCGTTCACGTCCGAGGCCCTGGCATTAGAAGAAGCAATGTTTGCAATGCAACGGATGGTTAGCATCTGCCGTCAATTCATTGACTCAGGTCTTGCGCAAGAAGGAGGAGGAGGAGGAGGAGGAGGAGGAGGAGGAGGAGGAGGAGGAGGAGGAGGAGGACGAGGAGGAACAGCAGCGGCCAGAGCGGGACGGCGTTTTTTTCTGGCGGGCGCCCGTGGCCGCCAGGAGGAGGGCGGGGGATGCCGCCTGTGGGGGGCGGCCAGGCGACGGACTTCGGCTTCGACGGCATGGAGGCCTCCGCCCGTTCGTCGCGGCTCTGCGAGGAGCGGGAGGAGGGGGGGGAGGAGTGGGAGGATCGAGGAGAGGGGGGGGGAGGAGGGGAGGAGGGGAGGAGGGGGAGGAGAGAGGAAGGGGAGGGTGGGGATTGGAGAGGCGGAGGGCGAAGGGAGGAGGAGAGATGATGAGGAGGGGGGAGGAGTAGGAAACGAAGGAAGATAATGATGATGATGAGGAGGAAAGTACCTGCAATAGGTTTCATGGCAGGCTACCGCTGTGGGGGTAAGGCAGCTCTTTGGGGATAGCCAGGCCGAATAAATCAATGTCATCACGCACAAACCGCACGACATAGCTTGCAACGCATAGATTTCTCGTCGGGGGTGCGGGAGTCTACTGCTTGTGGTCCACGCTGGATAACATTCGACTGCTGACGATGAGCAGGCAGAGGGGCTTGGAAATGTTGCCCCAACACGTGTCAAGACGCCATCATCAAGGTCCAAGGTTCGAGGATTGAAGGTCGAGGTTCGAGGATCGAGCCGCCGCCGCCGCCGCCGCTGTCGATGTCGTCGCCGGCGATATGGTTTCGTCGCCGGAAGGCCAGTTGAGTCAACGGCGACTATCCCGCCCTGCCCAAATCCGTTCGGAATCGATCCACGAAGCTCGTCCCTTGGCCCATCCTGACCGGTATTTCGAGGCGGATCCAGCCGTGGGGACGAGAAGCTTCCAGGATGGTCTTTGAAGACGAAAGCCCCAGGAAGTGCTGCCGTTGTCGCGACTTGCTCTGACATATTATATTTGGTGGACGTTTTCGGCCCGAGTTGTGGGTTACGCTCTCATAGGGTGCCAGCGGGGACGCGAGGACAATCGCGCTTCGCGCGTCGCGGTCTGGGCCAGAATGGTTGCCCTTCTCCAAGGGGGCGGCGTAATGGCGCGAGAATAACCGCGCACCGCGGGGCGCCATGCGCGAAACGAAGTGAGCTTGATTTTCAACAACGGCGGCGGGTGTCGGGGTTTGCCCATGTGCTGGTGTGCGCCGCGCGCCTCTCCGCTTCGAGGCACGCTCCCGCAGCTCGGGCCTCGCTCGTGGCCCACTCGTGGCGGATGACGGGAAGCGTGCTTCGGCCAGAAAAGGTCGCGCGATGGAGGCTGTTCTCCCGGCCCGGAGGGGAATTATTCATCAAGGGGGGGCTGGGGGCCATGGGGGTGGTGGTGGCGAGATTCGTCCGTGAGTCGCGACGGGGCAGATGCGGAAAAACGCGCTTAGAAGGCTTTGGTTCAAGTGGTTCCAGGCGACTTTTTAGGAGTCCGTGGGGTCGCAAGCCCCCGCGCAGCATGCGCAGTAAGTCACGTATCTTACTCCTCCTTGTGCTAGCCTTCGCCATGTAACTACTATCGTTGCGTTGGAGCGCCGAGCCTTGGGGGACGGCACGATTCCCCTGGAGTCTCGTGACTTTCAAGAAGCAGATGCGCACAGACGAATTCGTATCGTACACAGCACCCGTGCCTTTCGCACCATCCTCGCCAGAACCAGGGTATAGCTCAGTGGCGACATCTACGAGGGGCAGGACGCAGTGGCGAAGCTGTGTAGATTAGTTTCACGAGATAGTGCCATCCTCTCCCCGTCACTGTTTCTTGCACGCGTTCACGGACACCAGGCGCGTGGGTTTCAAAATTTGGACCCGCAGCGCGGTGACGTTCTTCATGACAGGACGACTAGATGAAGCTCTTCGATTTGCTACTGCTGCCCGCGTCGGCGCATTGGCCCCATAAGAGCACGGTACTGTCAACTGAAACTACCGGGGGGGATGATCGGCGCGTTATTGAGAATTCAGTGCTTGTCGGACGCCATTTCCCGAAGAGAGTGTCCAAAGTGCCGAACGCAACTTAGGGCTGACCCAAATTGACGATCGGAAGCGGCAGGCCAATCACGACTGTGTTCAGCGATGCCTTCATGGTTCAGGTGCGGGTGAAAACAACGATGCGTCTGATTGCTGCCAATCTGGACGCAGGCTCTCCGCTGGACGACGACTACTACGACTACGACTACTACGACTACGACTACTACTACCACTACTACTACTACTGCTGCTACTACTACTACTACTATCACTACTACTACTGCTACTACTACTACTACTACCACTACTACTACTACTGCTACTTCTACTATTACTATTACTGCTGCTACTCCTACTACTACTACTACGACGACTACTACTACTACGACTACTACTACTACTATTACTACTACTACTACTGTTACTACTACTACTACGACTACGACTACGACTACGACTACTACGACTACTACGACCACTACGACTACTACGACTACTACGACGACGACGACCATTACTATTATTATTCTTGTTGCTACTACTACTACTCCTACTACTTCTACTACTACTACTACTACTACTACTACTACTACTACTACTACTACTACTACTACTACTACTACTACTACTACTACTACTACTACTACTACGAGTACGACGACGACTACGACTACTTACTACTACTACTACTACTACTACTACTACTACTACTACTATTACTACTACTGCTACTACTACTACTACTACTACTACTACTACTACTACTACTACTACTACTAGTACTGCTACTACTACGATTTCTATTACTACTGCTACTACTTTACTCGTACTACTACTACTACTACTACTACTACTACTACTACTACTACTACTACTACTACTACTACTACTACTACTACTACTACTACTACTACTACTACTACGACTACTACCCTCACCACCACTCTTCTACTACTACTACTACTACTACTACTACTACTACTACCACTACTGGTGCTTCGACTACTACTACTACTACTACTACTACTACTACTACTACTACTACTACTACTACTGCTACTACCACTACAACTACGATTGCCAAGGGAGAGCCGTAATAGCCGTCGCGCAGGGTTTCCCCAACGGTTCTGCTACGAAAAGGTGCCTCGCTTTCTCCCAGGGGGGGATGGTTAAAATCCAGCAGGTGGCAGGGGCCATTGCTCCGATCGACGCGGCCAGGCGAATGATCGGCACCCATGAGCATGGCCCCTGCTGCCCAGGCGCAGGCGCGTCCGTCCGGCAAAGCGGCGAGGTGGGCTACGCGAATAGATCGCCGACGTATTGCGGTTGACTCAGCCGACGAGGTTGACGAGGCGGCGAGTCCTAGCGACCCGCGCAAATGCTACAAGATATCCGACCGCACTGCTCCCATCAGTTCCTGTGCGCCTGCCGCAGTCAACGGGGCTGATGGCAGCCCGTGCGTGGATGCTGAATCTGAAATTCAGGCTCGCAAGCAGGCGTTGCTGCTGCGCGTCTGTAATGCAGTTTTGGAGGTGCGGCGTCGAGCGGGGCACTGCCATTGTGGAGTGGGTTGGCTGTCCGACGGGCCTCCGTGCTGCGCCTTCTTTTGGGGGGGAAAGACGACGCCGCAATCGCGCCTCGCGTGGTTGAGGTTTACAGTTGTCTTTTCTTTCGCGGTGGATTGTGGGCTCACCGTGCTGGCAGTCCCAGATCGACATGCTGGCCCCCATGAAGGAGTCATTCCAAGCCACTCAGCGCTTCGCGACCGAATGCCAGATGGAGGAGAAGCAGGGCCTAGTCCGATGGGTCCTGGTGGCGGATCGGCACCGCCTGGTGAACGAGGCCATCTGCATGCCGAGGCTCGCCGAAAGTGGCAGGAGGAAGCAGGGCTCGTGATCGACGACGATCGCGCTTCCCGATTCATGGCCGCTCGTAAACTCCTGGGGCTTGCCTTCGAACTGAAGGGGACGGGCAATGGAGATGTGCCGAAGTAGTTGGACTGCGTCAGTTGCTCGGCGTTGTTCCGCGCTCAGCACTTGCCAAGTTTGTGAGTGTCCCGCACGTCGCGGGCTTGCACTTGCGTCGCGCTCAGTTTTGGCTTGTCACCAGCTTCGCGGCCAGAGGGCTGGAAGCTGACGTGCGATGCTCACCGCCAGAGGGTTGTCGCCTTGCGCATGGCGTCTTGCGCTTGCACGCGCGAAGCCCTCCCCTACCCCGCGCGGCGGGCACAGCGAGGGCTCGCGAGACCTCTGAGGTTGGGGTTGTGGCATAAACATGATGCGCTCAGACTCGAGGAGTCGCGCGTTGACGTTAATCACTGGCCCGGGGGACGGGGGCTTGCGGTGCAAGGGTTCAGGGCAGGAGTGGCGGCTGGGATCCCCCGTGATTCGCGACTTGGCGGGCGACGGGAACCCCGCCAATATTCGAGAAGTCGCGCGATGGACGTTGCGCGCAGGCGCGGAGAGGCCACGCTTATCAAATGCAGAGGTCCAGGGGAGGAGCGACGGCGCAGGCGCGGAGGGCATCTCGCCCGAGACATCCTCGCAGCGTGGGGATGCTACACTCGCTGGAAAATTCTTCGGCTCTTCGAAAATTTGGCCCTCGCATGGGACATCCTCGAACAAGTTGTATGTCGAGAAATCAGTTTCAAGACGCGCTCTCTTTCGAGATGTCCGTGTGCAGTGGAGATGTCGAAATCGCCTAGCGCTCTCGCCTGTGACATCCTCAAACACACGAGATGCTTACTGGTTTCTTTTGGAGGACCCCCAAGACAGTTCAATAATCGACTGCCTTGGAACACCAATGGTGTTGCAGTGCTGTTGTTCTGAAGTGAGCGTCTCGCCCGAAGCATCCTCAAACAATGCATTCGGGCGGGTCTTCGAACGCATTATATTACGATGCAGATGCCAGTGATTACGTTGATGGTGGTGGTGATGGTGGTGATGCTGTTGATAGTTAATGATGCTGGTGTTGATGCTGATGTCGATCGAGGTCGTTGATGATGCCTAAGCTGATGCTTGCGATGCTGTTGACGATGATGGCTGCAATCTTGATGATGCTGGTTTTGGTGATGCTGCTCTTTCCGATGATGCTGCGGATGATGGTGATGATGGTGACGACGATGATGCTGTGATGGTGGTGTTGGTGATGGCGATGGTGACGGTTATGCTGATGAGTATGACGCTGAACGCGAGGGCGAATGGAAGAAATCTGAAGAAATACAAAAGAGCTGAGTGATGAGGGTAACCAGGAACAGGCTTGTGAACGTTCGGGGGGCGCGTCCATAGGTATATCCCGTTTGGACGTTTGGAGAGCTGGCCCATTTTACACATTATCGTGGTCATGCTGCACGTTCTTGTGCAGGTGTTAGCTTTCACGCGCTTCGCGTACATTCGGATCCTCGTTCTGCCTGCAGCTTTACAGTGCCTCGCCGTCCGTCCTGGCCTCGCTTCCGAATGTGGTTCGGCTGGAGCTTGGCGCCGCAAGGGCGACTTCTCCCCCCCGTCCCGCTGCCCCACCTGCCGGGATGTCTGGGCCGGTCACTTGCCGACGCTGTCTGCGTCTCAATGGGGGGCATTTTGTCCCTGGCAGGTGCATACGCCACTGCGGCCAATTTGCATCGTACCTCGCCCCGGACGTTGTGCCCGCTCCTTGTCCCTCGCCTTGGAGCCGCGAACCAAAAAAGTTCATGTCAGGACAGGTTTGCCCGTGCGCGTTGGCAGTGGCACCCTGCTTGTGAGGCATCTGGTACGAGAGCTAGGCGACCTAGACTTCCCCTCCACCTCGGACGGCGTGCCAGGGCGCCCCTGCCGCGCCTGCGGCCGTGCGGCCGGACGGCCGAGGTGCGGGACTGGTAGGACTTCGCACGTGGATCGAGCGCGCCCGGGTTGCCCCTTCCTCCCTATCCTCTTCCCTGCTCTCTTCCCTGCCCCTTCTATCTTGCCCTGCTTCTGCCACCGCCTGGGCGAAGGCGTCAGACTCGGACTCGGAGCCGGACGACGTCCCAGGCCTACGTAGCACCGCTTGAGTCTTGTGATTCACGGGAGATGCGGGGAGCGATGAGGGGAAGGAGGAGGATGAGGGAGATGAGCCAGAGGAGGAAGAAGAGGAGGAGGAGGAGAAGGAGAAGGAGGAGGAGGAGGAGGAGGAGGCGAAGGATGAATAGGAGGAGGGCCAGTGCCGATGAGGTGGAGGAAGTGGGGGACGAGATGGAGGAGGAGCAGAATGAGGAGGAGGACGAGGGGGAGGAGGAGGAGGAGGAGGAGGAGGAGGAGGAGGATGGAGATTCCTGCGATTCGTTTTCACAAGGCGGCATCGGAACCGGCGACGCCTCCGTCTGGGACATACGCGTTGACGCTTGAAGCGGACGAGGACGCAAGTGTGTATATGAGGATGGTGACAGAGCCAAGGCGCTGAAGTAAGGGCCACCTCGGTCTCAGGATGGGATTCTGGTTATCGGGCCGTTTCTTGGGTTTAGGTGGCCGAGGCTCGCTGCTGCCAGAAAATATTATCGCTCAGTATTCTGCGTTCATTAACGCAGCACGAAGACTGTATATATCGATAGTTTCAGTTATGATGACGATGATGGCGGCATTCGCCAGGAGGATACGGTTTATGAGGAATCCAGGATGATCCCCAAGAAGACACCAGCTTGGGTTTAGAAGTCCGGTGGAGTATTCGCTGGGGTTCACCATATCCTTCCTGGAACATCATCAACTCGTGTTTACAGTTTTCGGGGCACATTAATAATTGGGGTCTGTAATGTTTCGTTTGGGACAAGATAAGCCTGGGCTTGCAATGTTCCGCGGGGAACATCTTGGGAACCCCACAACACTTAAATCAGTTTGATCATTTTGGAATGATAGAAACTGCTAGGTTTCCCCCAATCCCCGGTCTGCCGAGTGGAATGCATCATTTTCGAAAGTTGATCCCGGTTCGCTATCTGAGAAACCCTTTAATAAAGATCGAGCGCGGGGGGGGGGTGTTTGAGAGTAGTAACTAATAGTTTCCCCTCGAACCTGGGTTCTCCACAGATTCTGGGACCGCTTTGACTTCTTCAAATAATAATCAACGACTGGGGGCTATTCCATGATGGTAATCAGACGCGCTGGGGGGTGGTGGTGGCGCGTTTCAAGATGCATTCTGCGACAACCAACACTGGTTCGTCTTTCCTGAATCATGAGCCTGCGTTTTCATTCTGGAGTGATAGTAATGGAGCCGTGGGGGGGTCACCGAAAGCGCCGACATGTTTGGAAGAAGTGAGGTTCACCATTTCCAGCTACGAACTCAGGTTTATCAGTCCTAAACAGCCACGGTCGCCGCGGACTTCCCGGTTGTCCTCGAGGAATCGGAGGCGGGGTGGGAGCCTGAAAAGGAGGATCAGCAGGAGGGGGAGGATGAGGTAGCTGATGCACCGAACGGCGAAAGGATGAACGAGCTCTACCAGTGGACTGAACGCTCCCTGTTTGGCCGGTGGTGGCTCTGGGGTGGCCCGCGGGTGTCCCGCCTATGTTCCGTGGTGTCCCGTGGGTGTCCCGTGGCGCGGTGTGTCCCATGGTGTCCCATAGTGTCCCGTGGTGTCCCGTGGTGTTCCGTGGGGCGGTGTCCCGTGGTGTCTCGTGGTGTCGATTGGGAGATCGATCGTAGAATCGATAATTAAATCGATAGTGCGATCGATAGTGACGCCGTTTGTGAAGTCGGTTCCGATCGACAGATAGTGAGATCGAGTGATAGAGGGAGATCGATGGTGACATCGACAGGTCTGTAGGTAGCTAAAACATTCGAGTGGTAACGCCAGGCTCTTCCAGCGCACTCCCGGCCTCAGCGCCCACACGCTGAGCTTGGCTCTCGCACGCGTCTCCCGCAGTTCTCTGTGAGCAGCCTGGCCGCGCCGACGCTCCTTGACCATAGGCAAGTTCTCGTCAGAGCAAGGCGCGTTGACAATATCGATTGCTGTACCGTGAACATCGTCATCATGATCATAATCAGCATAGCCATTATCGCCAACATCATCACAGCTAAGTATCAACACGATTGCTATCACCATCACCCCTATCGTCATCACCATCATCGCACCGCAGTTAATCTTTCGACCATCTGTCGCGCCACAGTGCGTCATTTCGGTAGTGAGACCGGCTGATAGAGAGACTGCTAGGTAGATGGTGGGATCGACCGTGAGTTCGATAATGAGGTTGATGGATTGGAGGTTCGGGGGTGCTATTGATAGGTCATGAGGTCGATAGTGCGATCAAGAGTGACCTCTCGTGGTGTCTCGTGGTGTCCCCTCGGTAGTGATACCGATATATACATATTTATATATATATATACACATACGTAAGTTTTGTATATCGATTTACAGATAGTTACATATCCACATATATAAATATTTATATATATATAACATTCGTTGGTAGAGACCGAGCTCGATAGTGATATCGGTAGATAAGTCGAGAGCGAGATCGCTCATGCTATCCATAGTGTGTTCCGTAGTGAGTTCGATAATGCTATCGATAGATCGTGAGAGCGGCCAGTTCAGGAATATTGACAGTGAGGTCGATAGTAGGATTGACAGTGAGATCGATGGATAGCGAGATCGATACTGATATCGATAGTGATGTCCCGTGGTGTCTCGCGGTGTCCCATGGTCACTTGTGTCTGAGTCTGTTTTTTGTGAAGGAGCGCGTGGGCAAATCAATGCCACCTGATTCCGCTCGTTGGCCCGATGTTTTTTGATTGATGCCTTGATCGGTGCAACATCTTGCCCTGTACGTTCGTAACACGTCCTGCAGAAAAGAGGGAACGTCATTGCTTGCCATTGCTTGGCATCTCTTGACATTGCTTGGCATCTCTTGGCATCTCTTGTCATTGTTTAGCATTGCTAGATGTTGCTTGACATTGCTTTGTGTTGCCTGGCATTGCGTGGCATTGCTTGACATTGCTTGGCATCTCTTGGCATTGCTTGGCATTGCTTGATGTTGCTTGACATTGCTTTGCATTGCTTGACATTGCTTTGTGTTGCTTGGCATTGCCTGCCATTGCTTGGCATTGCTTGGCATGGGCGGGGGGAACCCAGGGAACCCCTGGGGAACGGGCAACGTAACAAGTGAAGGCACCGGGGGGGCTGGGATCCCGGAGAACCTGGGGACCCCTGGGAATCTCCGAGAAACGGGCAAAGAAACAATAGGAGGCACCAGGGGCGGGGAACCTGGGGAACCCGGGGAACCCAGGGAACCTCCGAGCAACGGGCAACGCAATATGAGTAGGCACCAACTCTTCACCAAGTAAGAACTCCTTAGGCAAGCCTAATTGGGGAGACAACGAGTGTGCGCGGCGCGGAGGCCAGAGCACCATCCGTATGTTGCAATTCTTAAGCTGCAGGATCATACGTGGTGAGGAGTCCTCAGGCGACACGCCCAGCCCGCCCTGCCCGTACGTCTGGGGGTGCGACAAGGAGGAGTTGTTTGCAAGGACTCAGGGTGGAGGGGGAGAGGAGGGGGAGGAAGAAGAGGACGACGAGGAGGAGCGAGGGCCTCCCAGGCACGAGGGAAGGGCGGCGCTGAGAGAAGGGGGGGAGGAGCGGGATCGGATGGGGTCGGCCCCGGTGGAGCGACGACGGAGGCGCCACGACCGCGCCGCAGCAGACTTGGCTCGGATCCGGTCTGGACCCGGGGCCGGCCCCTCCGTGGGGGGGGGGGGCGGCCGCCCCCGCGGGGGCGGGGTGCGACCGATGAAGGCCCCCGGCGGGCGCACGAAGCTGCCGCCGCCCAGCCCTCTTTCCGTCGCCCCTCCTGATCTGGGAGCTCCTCGTCCTCCCTGCTCCTCTATCTATCCTCCCCCCTCCCTCCCTCCTTCTGCCTCCTCTTCCTCCCGCTCCTCCCCTCTCCTCCTTCTCTTCTCGTATCCTACCTCCTCCCTCCTATCTCCCTCATTTCTCCTTCCTCCCTTATTTATTGAATCGCTTCGCTCATTCCGCCGGCCCGTATTGTGCCATCGCGGGTTCTTGGGGGGTCTTGGGAGCCCTTGGAAGCTTCATGGGAGCTTCTTGGGAACTTTGGGAGGCCTCGTGGATGGCTCTGGGTGGGCCCTCTTGGTGGTCTCTTGGGGGGGTCTGCCTGGCCTCTTGGGGGCCTCCTGGGAGCTTCCTGGGGGTCTCTTGGGGGCCTCTTGGGGCTTTCTTGCGGCCTGTTGGGGGCCTCTTGGGGCTCTCTTGGGGGCTTCGTGGGGCTACTTGGGGGCTTGTAGGGGCATTTCGGGGGCGTGTTTGGGCGGGAGGCTCAAAATTTCCGTTCAGGTTGCCCCTGTGGACCTCAATCATGGGGCCGTGTTGAGGCCTCTTGGACCGTCTTGAGGGTTTCTTGGGCCTTCTTGGAGCGCTCTTGGGCCGTCTTTGAGCGGTCTTGAGGGTCTCTCGGGCCGTCTTGGGGTGATCTTGGGGGCCTCTTGGACCGCCTTGAAAGGTGTGAAAGACGAAGAGGCGGATATGTTAAAAATGCACGCTTTCCTCAGGGAATGAGACGATTTTTGCTTGTGGGAGCCCTCTTGGGACGCCGCTTAGGGACCTCTTGGGGCGTCTTGAAGGCCTGTTGGGCCGTCTTGAGGCCATCGTAGGCGCTTGGGGGTGATATTTCGGCGTCTCCGGGCTCTCTTGGACCGTCTGGAGGGCTTCTCGGGCCCCTCTTGGACCGATTTGGAGCCCTCCTGGGCTCCGAAAAAGAGTTCTTGAGGGTTTGTTGGGCTTCTTGGAGCGCTCTTGGGCCGTCTTTGAGCGGTCTAGAGGGTCTCTCGGGCCGTCTTGGGGTGATCTTGGGGGCCTCTTGGACCGCCTTGAAAGGTGTGAAAGACGAAGAGGCGGATATGTTAAAAATGCACGCTTTCCTAAGGGAATGAGACGATTTTTGCTTGTGGGAGCCCTCTTGGGACGCCGCTTAGGGACCTCTTAGGGACCTCTTGGGGCGTCTTGAAGGCCTGTTGGGCCGTCTTGAGGCCATCGTAGGCGTTTGGGAGTGAT